TGAAATTCGTGGTTTTCATAAAGTTTTGATAATATGTTTGAGTTTTGAGAATATATACACATATGGTTTTATGTGGGGTACTTGGGAGGTTGTTATGAGTTTATGTAAAGGTGTGATTATTTCATATGATTGTTTGGAGTACTTTAAGCACTATTCTATGTACCTTCCCGGATCTGAAACGTGATTACTGATACTGGATACACTTGGAATTATTTGAGTTCAGGACATCCTTGAGGGGATGTTGCTGTGAACCCTGGATTTGGGGTAGTCTGTGCGCGTAGGACTGGTATTTCAGGCGTACAAGCTTTGACTATGTCGGCTGTACGTGCTGGCTGAGAGTTTGTTCCCCAGTTGGACGGCTCGTTCCCTAGACACATGGTGCATTGAGGAATGGCTCTGCCATGTGGACTAGTCAAACAATCCCCCGGTTGGATTGTTTCCCCGGTACAACTAAATTGTGGTTATATTTATATATTCTTATGATTATATGTTATATTACTATTATATATATATATATGAGTATTCGGTCGTTCTTATTTCTCGGTAAGGATACTTCCTCGCCGGTTGTACCATTGGGTACGTTTTCGAGAGTTTAAGCTCTCGGGACTTCTAAGTTTTGAGTGGTGGGTTTTGTGAAGTGTGATTCACGGATTTCGGATTTGGTATCCGGTATGATTTTTAGTATATGTTTATACACTGCTTATGACAGTTTTATTATGCATCTGGATTCGTTGCATGTGTTTTATAAGGTAGGGGTTATATTATTTTGATTTAATTAAACTGACTTAATTTTCGTCCACTCACAATTTTCTGTTTTGCGACCCCAGCCAGTAGCAACTGAGCTCCACAGTCAAGCTAAACCGGATGCTCTCGAAACTTGAGTCTTCGTAGGGACTCCTTCACCTTTTCCTTTCAGTTAAACTGTACTTCTGTTGTTTTTGAATTTCTTAGATATGCTCTGTATCGCCTGCTGAGGGTATAAATCGTGAGGCTGGAAGCCTTTGTTGTAAATTGTTTTATTGCTTGTAAAGCATGCTGCCAGTTGGTTGTTTATAACTGTAATTATGAACAGGTTGAAGTTTGGGAATGTTCATTTTACAGGGGAGATTCTGCCAAATTTTTGGTAGAAAGTCTCAGTCTTTAGTAAGTGGGCCCGGCATCGGGGTGATGTCGGAATTTAGGCGGGTTCCGTCCCAGTTTCCGAGGAGATTCAGGGCGGGTCCTGTCAATGGACTTGTTACTTTGTGTGCATTATGTATCTTAGAGTAACATTCACACCCCTTTGATTACATTAATTATATTATATCATTAGAATATTCCATTTTTATACTGGCTTCTAGGGCATATATCTAACAACTAGGACCCATCTCCCTCCAAGCCACTGTAGTTTCATCCACATTAATAACAGTGGGGTGTTCCAAGTAAATTACAATCCTCTTCCAAAGCTATGAGGCACCAAATGACACCATTAAAGTAGCTGAGCATCACTGTCTACACACTTTCTTACCATTTTGTATTCCTGTCACAACCACTTGGTCATGGTAACCAAGCTTTTTTGCATACCCATATATCTCTAACAAATTTATGTAGTTTGTATCTCTAACAAATTTATGTAGTCCAAAAGACACCAGTCCCCCCCCCCCCCCCCACCCCCAACATAAAACCACCACTCATTGAGGTTTGGGACTTTATCATTCTACTTCCATGGTGTAATTCAATGTGATTATTCCTTTGTCATATGCACAACAGAACACTAAAAAACACATTTTAACCACATGTACAGTTTAAAAAGGAGAACACAACAACCAAACTACCAGTAAATAGAGATGGAGCAACATTCACACGCAACTAATATTTTTAATGAACTAAAAGAATCTTTAAACAACTAGTAAACAGGAAAACATAACAGCAAGACATAGGGGACCGCAACAATATTTAATTCCAGACTTTTCAAACTCAACGCCTTTGGACTGGACCCAACAAAGCAAGCAGACAATAAAGAAGCTTAAACCTAGACCACACTCTATAAGTCTCTCGCTTTCATCGATTCCATGTCAAAAGAGAAGGGCCACTTACCATACTCGCGTTGAGAACCTCATTTTTCTCTCGGTACCATCGTTGTCTTCTTTAGTCTCTTAGATATTCGCACTTCTCCTAAGATTTCGATTCTTCTGCAATATTTGCTCCTTATTCTCTCTCTCTCTCTCTCTCTCTTTTCGATTATACACTCCAAACCCTAATCCCCAAATTTTTTCGACTTAGAAGCTTCTTCGTTT